GCTGTCTGTTTGTATATTTGGTTTTTGCTCACATAAATTTGTATTCGTCTTTTTGCAGAATATTCTGTATGTTATTGTTTTCTTCTTAGGCCGTCATATGTGAGTACGGTTTTTATTATGCTTCTCTTTCTGTTCGTGTGGTTGAAAAGCGCCACACATGAAGAGAAGACAAGACAAAAGCAGCAGCAGCAACAGCAACAATATGAAACCAATACGCCAACGGCGAGGCAACAAAATCAATGCGATATTTTGTTGTTCAGTGGCATGTTTTTTTCTCTCTTCTCATTCGTTATTTCTGCTCTTTCTCTCTCTATCGTAACATGATTACCATAGTTATGAATCTGTGGTTACACAGGTGTCAGTGATTGGTTTCTTTTCTCTGGTCTTTCTTCGTAAAGCCAGTGCTTGTGCGAAATGCGAACTACATTACAAATATGTGTATGTGTGTTTCAAGTGCTTGGTAAGCTTGGTGAATGTACGTTTTGTCCATTGATTATTACCGGTTTGTGTGCGCTAGCAACAGCCACATACACCGAGATCATGGTCCGAATCAACTGTTTCATATATTGTCGCATGATTTGTTATTACAATCATGATGAATTGATGTTGTTACTGCTGTTGTTGCTTCTATTGCTGATGTGATGTGGTGTTGCGGTGTATGAGTATTTTTATGCTACCAGTCGGTTTTTTCATGTATTCACCGATTTACGTCCTGAAACTAATACAAATCTCTCACATGCAACTGCATAATCGAAATGCACTTTGGACGATTGATATTGTTGTAGATTGAGCTAAAAAAAGGTGCGTGTATGTGTGTGTGTTTGTGCAGGGGATTGAATTGTGTTTGAAAAACACACAAACGTGTCCACATAATTCACACGACGTAATCAGTCGGCTATTGTGTCCACGTAATGAAAATGCTGTCCATTTGTTGTTGATGGTGGTCGGGTGCGGTATGCGAGCTATTCGCTATCTATCGGGAATGTCTCTAAAACTTGTACACTCGATTCCGATTATATTCAAATCATTTACCATGTCACATTTCTGTTGTCATAGCCATTTTTATCACTTGCTTCCCCACGCAAATCCAATCCAATGAATATTCAAGATCAAGAAATCAACAGTTTTTGCTCCATCACATATTCCATCCAAATTCAAAATCGATTGATTTCCGTATTGGTTCTTTTGCTGTCGCTGCTGGCGCTGTCACATTTGATCGAATATTTTCTGGCACATGATTTCTTTTCACTTGAGCTGAAATGAATGCGGAGCTCACATTTAATGATTATGCGCTCCATTTGTATAATAAGCCTTATCAAACATGTATATCGATGTAAGTCTTTGATAAGAATCCAAGGTTGTTCGATGCAAAAACGCGTGACTGGTTTTTCTATTTAATCCGGTCTTACGGTGACACACAAAATGGATATATCCATATATATTTAGACATTTAGATAGCATGGCGCTTATTCATCTTCAGCAGTATGTAGATTTTTAAATACAGATTCGTTATATCATAATTGTTGAATTATACATTCATTTTGCATATCGTTTCATGTGTATTTTGCTTCTTTTGCGAATTGGAAAATTCGACATATTGTTTTGCACAGATATAAAGATCTATATTCGTTCGATTGATTGAAAATGGCTGCATATGCCACTGTATAAAAGGGCTTTGGCTTTGAATCAGCAATTCTGTCTTAAACTTGTTGTTTAACTATTTCGGAAAACTTTTCATTGTTCTTAATTATTCCAATCAAAAACAAAATTAAGAATTAATTTTCTGTTCTTCCCCTCGGGGCCTTATATCGTCTGCGTATTCTATTCAGTTTGTTGTTTATTTTACATGTAAATGTGCTGTTCACATTTCCTGATTGAGAGTTATTGTTTTTTTTTCTTTCTTCTTTCGATGTCGCCTTTAACAATGCAACGATGTATGACACATGTGCCAAAACTGGAATATCAAATAATGCTCTTTATTTCACGGAAATTCATTCAGATCAAGTGAATATTAAACATTGGCTGCTTTAATACCGTATACGTTGAAGTGTGTGCGTTTCGCTCTCAAATTAAATTCCACTTTGTTTACTTACTTACATTGTAAGAGCGACGCACGACTTTTCATCCAATTTTCCGCCGACTTTCAAACATTAACCCACTCTTATATTTTCTTTCTCTTTCTCTCTCTTTTTAAGACTCTTAGACGCGCAAATGTATAAGCAAATGAGCGTGTTTTAAACCAAATGTACGATGCTATACATTGTGTTGAATTTTAATGCATAGGGTATTGAGCTCATTCAAATAAGACAATCAGTCTGTGGCTGTAGCCTCTAGAATTATTACATTATCATAATATTTCAATTTTCTCATTTTGTAAACTTTTTTTTCACTTTTTCATGTGCACTACACATCACATCGTATTTTATAAGTATTGTAAGCTTTGGATCATTTGAAAATGTTGAATCAAAAGTAAAAAAAAATACTTTCCAATCATGGGAAACCCGCACAAAAAGCATTTTTTATCTTTTTTGAGAATTTCGTGTTTGAAACATTTTGTTTAATTTTTCACTGAAATAAAACCTCAAACGAAAAAAAGGAAAAAAGCACAAAATCTACGTTGCATGCAGGGTGTAACAACGTCAATCCTCTGAATTTACATTTCCAAGAGGAAATGCACACAGTTTTTGAAAATATCGTGTAACAGCTGAGATTTAATAACGTTGTTTGTGCATACAACTCCTTTTTTTCATTGACACACTGGCTACACTGTGGAAATACCAAGCGAATGTGATATTGAATATGGTTTGGGTGTTTTTTTCGAATCAAAATTAATAAAACGTTCGTGGACTTGACACTTTTTATGCGAGAGTTCATCAGCATTGGATTCACACAGTTCTCAAAATCCATTAATTAGGCAAAGATATTTTAAGTTCCCAGACTACACTTGAATGGTGAATCGAGTTAGTTTTTCAATTATACGAGTTTTCTAAACATATTTTGTTTATATATTGGGAAGAAATGAAGAAAACGAATGAAAAAGATGAGCCCAACAAATAATAGATCTCAAGTCCACTGATTTATAAACCGATACAAAGAAACATAAAATCGAGAAAAAGAAATAGAAACTTCAATTCAAAATTGCTATTCCATTAAACAATTAGTTTTTTGACAAACTTTCTTATTGATTGCGCAGGTCGTATTCTACATGAAATCGTCCAAATTGTATTGAATGCATTTCGATATGGTTTACACATCATCATCGGCAAAACGCGTAGATAACTAAAGAAAAGAACACAGATATGCATAAGACAAACTCAACAATAGACGCAAAAGGTATAAAAAGAAACAAATGTTTTTGTGACGTTATTAGTGTCATTTAGCATATTTTAATAACGGAGGGAAAATATTACCCATATCAGTATTTATTCGATCTTTACATTTAAAAATCAACAAAGATTCATAAGCATCAAGTCTGCAGTTGTTCTCGAACGAGCCGATGCTATGTGGATGTTTATCAATATTTTCGTACGCGTGAAGTGCGACAGCTGATTTGTGTATTGCTTTATTACGAACACAATTCAAATGTTCATTGTATCTCACTAAGACGCAACGATGCTATTTCATTAACTACTTCACTGTGAATGTCCAGTTCATTTACTCGAAGACATCAAGTTCTGAGTCAATGCAAGAAAATTGCTTTTAATCTTATTAACGCAAATTAACTTTGCATACAGTCAAGATTGTCTTCTTGTTTGGCACTTTATTCAGTATGGTAAGCTGCGTAATACGTCTGTAATTTTTCCCTTTAATATTAATTTGTGGAATTTTTGTTTTAGTTTCATTTTCAACTAAATAATTAACGCAAGAAAACAATTATTTAAAATATGTACTGGCGCCATAGTAGTGGTATACGTCTTTCAAATTAAAAATCCAAGTAAAATGTGTATGGTTTCATTAATGAATTATTATCGAATTTTTAAAATTGAAATTAGACTTGTCATCTTCAATCTTCAAAACAACTGTTTTTTGAAAACATGATGAATTTCGGAACGGTTTTTTATCGTCATAACACATTTCATTTTTATAATAAAGGAATCTTGCAAATTGTATTTGTTTTTGTGAAACGAAATAAAATCCTTTGATCTTTTACAAATATTTATTATAATATGTGACAATTAAACTTCATGGGTGATAATTATTTCGTTAACCGAATAGAAGAACTATTTTTTTGATTGTTTCTTTAAACGCTTCTCTGCTCGCTTTGTCAACTCCTTATATAACTTATCTGCTCCCGCAAAGTCACCCTTCACTTCTAAATCTTTTATTTGGCATTCAAGAGTTTCAACTTCAGTTGGAGTGAAACATCCAACAAACGCACTTAAGCTTCTTGTAATAGGATTTCCACCGGCATCTACATTGTTAACTAGTAGCTGTAGAAAAACAATCGATTATCAACAAAAAATAAACCAAATGTACAATACAATATATTGAAAAAATTGATTTACCCCACAAAATGCGACTCCTATCAAAAGTAGTGCGAAGATATTCCGATTCAACATATTTTTATTTTAGATAATGAAACTTTCTTTCAAGAAATCTATAAATTTAAATGTTATTCAACTTGTTTGTACTTGCGGTGTGCTTGATGTCGCGATATTAATGATATTTTCTATCGAATGATTTCAGTTTATATACACTTTGCCACATTTAAATATTTGAAGTTCATCATTTGCGATCGTTAATTTCTTTTGTCAATCGAACTTAATGTCAACACATTTTTTTCGTTTGATTTTCGTCATAGCAAAACACATTTTTGCAAAAGGTGTATGTTTTATAAAACATGTTTTATTCAATTTAATAACTTCCATTCTTTCTGTATAAATTCCAATTTTTTTGTACTGTTTGTATTATAAATTAATGAATTCTATCACAATTCTTTCATTTTGTTTGCGTTACATCCAAACACATTTTGTTTGCTCATTGACATTAGTATCAGATATAGTGTAGAATCATTATCAATTTTAAAAACATTATTGAGATGATTATCGATTTCGTTTGAGAGACTTTTCGATTTGTAACCATTGTGGAATTGACCAAAATAAAAATGTGATGCCCGAAAGTCAGTTCAAGGTTATAAGAAAAATTTAAGTAAATGATTTATGACATGATTGTTCAACGTTGCACTGCATTAAATACAAATTCAATAATCCTCTATCCAATTTGCAGCTCGTATTTTTATTTACTGTGTTAAAAGTAAAGATACAAATAGAGAACTTCTGTTCAACATTCAACGTAAGACTAGGTGACTACTTCGCTGTGAGTCTCCAGTTTATATTCTCGAGAACATCAATTTGTGTACTGATTCAATGGAAGAACATTGCATTTAATCTTGTTAACGCAAATTAACTTTGCATACATTCAATTTTATCTTGATTTGCATTTGGATGGCATTTTACTTGGAATCCAATGTAACAAGTGAATGTTACTGGAAATGGATGCAACAAAGTTGTTCTGCACTTATTACATTCAAATATAGAAACAAACTGCAACATCAGACGCAAAATCGGTTGAAAAGAATGAACAGAAAATGCATTATTATATATATATATACAATTGATTAATTCACCATTTATTCCAACTTGTTGGTGACTTCAGGCTACTCATTGCACTCAAATGCATTGTTTCGGTTTGTACACATTGACCCATTTTCGAAAAGTTTGCATTCATAACCAACAAACTTCCGTCGCCTTCTAGTATACAGTGCGAAGACGCAATCTTTGGTTTTTACACATATATATATATATTTCAATCAGCAAAACCAACGTTACATGAAATAAATGGAAAGATGAAGGAAAATCCGTTTGATAATAAAAATTTGCTCATGCCAAATACTGTTCGCCATAATCATTTGCGGCCAGAGTTCTTTAAATACCCAAAAACATACATAGATTGAACTAAATGCAAAACTAATCAACTCCGGATGTGCTCAGTGTCACTCATACCGCATTTTCGAGTATCCATTAAAAGAGTGCCAGTGTAGTTTTTGGTTGTTGAGGTTTTTTGGTAGCTTATTTCTCGGCAGCGCTTATTTACATAGGTTCCAATCATTTACATGACACATAACTAACTGTAGTTTATGCATACAATGTTCGGTATAAAATATGTGTTGAATAATGCAAAACTCATGCAAATGCCTGAATTTGATATTCTAAAGAACTACAAAGTTTTGTAAATGAGTTCGTTGAATGAAAACCGTTTTGTATACATATATAGTGTAATGTACGTTGTATAGTCAACATTGTTAACAAACATGGTCAACCAATGTTACAAATGTATGTATAGGTACAATGTGTTACATAGTAATAGTTAAACGAGAATAAATTCAACTGTGCATCAGCTGTCAATTGGGTGAACAGGAGAAATGTGCATTGATTCGATGTGAACAAATTAAAATAAGATACCGTTGAAAATGTGTTGCGAAAAAATTCCTTGCAAAAAAAGATTAGCATTTTTGCATACGCACACAAGAGAGACGGAGACAGACACACACACACAGAGAGAGCAAAAAGTTGTTGTTTGTTGCAAGTTGCTCTCAAGATAATTTTATCAAAACATCATTGTATGGTTCCCGGATTCCCGTGTGCAAATTTGCATTTTTATGAAATTTTCTTTAATAAAACAACAACCAAATTAAGTTTGGTAATTAAGACCAAATTATATTTTGTAAAAATACAATCCAATTACAAAGCACTGGCAACGCTGTTCGGTGTTCAATCGATGCTTTTAAATGGTACAAAGAAAAAATTAAAAAGATGATTTGATGTGTCCACCAGTTTGAGGCTAGTTGTTTAAAAATAACGTTGATTAGTTCATGCAGCGGAGCCGCATAGTTGACGATAGAGAAGGAGCGAGCGAATGAGAGAGAGACCATGCATTGAATGGAAACACATGTTAAAATTGCTGCTTGGAGCAATGGTTTCGTGCGCCGTCGAGATGGAAATAAATCCAATTAAAAGTTTAATGTAACTTCGAGTAAACATGTCACGAACATGGAGCGCGCACACGACACTCGTTTTATGTCTTTTCGTTTTTCGTGAATGAGCCAAAAAAAATGTCATAAAAATAAAACAAAATATACATGCCAATAGCAAACACGCATGGTTCTTGTGGCGTAGCGAGAAAAGGATACAAAAACTTGAGAAATAGCAAAAATTACACATCACAAGAAAACGCAGAGAGTGAGAAAGCGTTTTCGATGTTCAATTTGTCGTATGCACACTGCATCAACTTCTTTTTTTGTTTTTGTTTGTTATCATTAAACACTTTGTATCTCCGCCAAACTGGAGATCCACCCTTCACCAAGTCTCGATCACACAACTAAAAAGTAATGCCAAAGTTTTCACACTGCTGCATCGCAAAGTATTTTATAGTGTGCAAGTAACGACAAACAATGATAGACGAAGAAATGTGGGAGACCGAAGACGGTGGATGGAAAGGGGGACGGAGAGACGGAAGGAGACAATGAATGAACAAAGAAACGGAAGCGAATATCACCCATATCGAGACGATTATAAACACCAACGATTATTAGCTCTTAACAATGTTACCGCACTGATACATGATATTTGTTGATACTTGCTACGTGCTGCTGCTAAACAATGTTTGGCCAAAACTTACAAAGTATAAGGTGTTTATTCAATAACAATGTTCATTGTATATGTTTATATTTTCTCCCAATATACGAATATGTTCCCAGCTCTTTCATGACGTCACACAAGATTCGAGGTAGGCCTCGACGGCTTTTCACCCAAATAGAATTTTACTTTTGGAACACTTTAACTGGAAATAATGATGGTTGGTGTTGGTATCGAATTACACAATGGGCCAGCTTGACTGATGCTAAATCAACAAAACATATAATGTATTTATAGCACCTGTATTTTTTCACACGTCCTTTCCTCATTCCATTCGCTTCGTACATGCTTTCTACGCTCATTTAATATTTTACAGCTTTTTCCACTTTTTTTATATGCGCTCCGCTCCATTGATATCCGATAACAATTTACAACATTTCCGGAACGAACTAACACAATTTAATTCGGTTCTAATTCATGATTTCACTTTTCAGCTTTCAATAAGCTTCGTTTCCTTTTATTTGTATTGTTTTTGGCCAAGAGCAGTGTATTTTGTTCACATCGTGTTTCAGTTTATTTGATTTTCGCCATCGAACACTTGCGATGAAATTCCAAGAAGTTTTACACACTGTTTACCGCGCTCATTTGTGCATTTACAATTCAAATTAGTATTCACAATACCATTCTAATTAACACCACATTTATATGCATTAAATGTATACGACAATGGCAAAGGAAGAGAAAGTGTGTGCTCTCTCTCTCGACAGAGAGAATGACAGAGAGAGAGAGAGAGAGAAGAGGGAGGCGAATGAAATGCACGACACTTGAAAGAGGAAAAAGACGATGATGTACCGGGGCGAGTATACAAAACGATGATTCGCTTTTCAAAATAACCTGAAGCACACGTAAAAAGCAACCCAACTGAAACGAGAACACGATTTAAACAACGAACTAAAGAAAAGCCATGCATATTTCTGTCATTTGCTATCATCAGCTTTCGCTTGTTTGGACATAAAAGCTTGTGATGATGATAAACAAATAAATAAATGCCGAGACACAAAATGAAACATACACAGCCATGGCCATGGCGTTTTAAACATCAACAGCAGCACATGATGTTGCGACCAACAGCTGTTATATTCGGTTTTCTCAGGCGTATCACTTTTTGATGGTGAAGGTGTGCTTCCATGGAAGGCAAGCAGGAAAAAAAATGATTATTATATGATGGCAGTCATTTTTTCCATTTAAGAAGCAAAGTCATTTCCATCGGCATTGGTATAGTCCCCAATCTAATTTTACCGTACGAGAAAATGGAAATGCACCATTCGATTTTGTGAAAAGCGTATTTATCCGAAATGAAGCAAACGCTGTTATGATTATAGATCCGCAGTCGACCAATGGACCTCCTTTTGAATATATTACGTTTGCCATGAGTGCTTCAGAGTGTTCAACTGAATTTAATGAAATTTTGCTCTTGTGTGCAAACACATTGTTTTCCATATCGTTCGATGCGTTTGTTACTTTATTGTTTATAATTTTGGACCGGATGTAAACGGTATCTCGATTTTCGATTAGTGATTCAGCCATTGAAATGAAGTCAATGCTTGACTTGCTAATTGGATTTAATATATTTGTATATATAAAATGCAGTTTGGGATTTCATGAATGGATTGAGTGAACTGAGACCGACTTAGATGGGTTATTTCGATAAATTTTATAGCGATTTATTTATGCACCTATAGGTACACAATGAATATTCAAAACGAATCTTATACCGATTAACAACAATAACCGAAAAACATTTAGCGATCAAAAGTTCAACAATGAATTGAAAGGAGCCGACCAGATATGATGAATAAATTGGCAGTTAATGTCTATACTGACCCCATGAATAGAGTCTTAACATGTATATCTTTCACTGGGAATTATTCATTTTATATCTTTCAATGGAAACATGTGAATTTTAATTTGAATAATTGATAAATTGAATGTGTTGCAAGAATGGTTAGACACAAAAATAAAATATTCAAAAATTAAAGGCTGCAACCTTTGAAAGCATGTCTTTAAGAGCAGTATAAAAGAGCGTAAGCAAATCAATTGAAATCAGTCATTGATTTAATTGGTCATTTTCGGTTGAACAGAATGAAGATTTTTGTGGAGTTAAAAAGATTGCTTAAGCTCTTGGGAATTGAGCCACACACCACGTTTAATCGAATAAATATAACAGCTTTATACCTTTTTGCATATTGCTTATTTGCAATGATTCTATTTTTATCGTTCGAACAAAAGACATTCGTGGATTTTGGAAACTCTTTCTTTGGTGCTGTCTCCTTTTTGCTCAATCTATTTACACTATCTTCGTACATTTTCAAACAAGCAGAAATCTACCATTTATTCGGCAAATTCGATGAAATCATTCAAGAAAGTAACTCCGCTTTCATTTTAATTCAATTTATTTCGTTGAAATTTCAGTGAACATATGTGTTTTTTTTGTTTCAGGATTGAACGTTCGTGCTGTGCTCTATGATAAAGTGCATTCGAAAATTGAAAAGTGGTCAAGAATCTCGAATATAACCATAATAAAAATTACACTTTTATTTACATATATACCAAAACTTTTGATAAGTTTTTACCTTTTTGTGAATGGCCATGGCAGCTCAAGCTTCAGTTTGAATTATCCAATGTGGTAGGTTTGAACTTTTAGGCTTTTGTTTGAATTCAACTTAACGAATATTAAAAGAAATACGATTAATTCGTTTCTTTCGAAAACATTCGATAATTTTCAGGATGCCTTTCAATTGGAAAACTCCCATTGGATACATAATCACTTGTCTAACTCAATTTGTTGCTTGGGCCTTTCTTTTGATTAATTGTAGCTGCGTCATGATATTCATGGGCGGAGTATGTTGGCTGTTAATCGCTTTTGTTGAAGATATCGAAATGGAATTGCGTTGTTTGGACGATCTCAAAAAAAATCCAATTAAACTCAAGGTGAAACTTTGCAGCATCGTTCGATTACACTCTCATGCTATGCAGTTGAGTTTGGGTTTTCTCAGTATGAAAAAAATCAGCATTTATTTTAATTTTCAATCGTTAGATGCGCCAACGATTTCGCCGAGATTTATGAAGTTATCATAACCGGCTATTATTTATGGAGTATTTTAACAATTTGCAGTACTTTGTCGGTGGTTCATATTGAAATGGTAATAATGAGTCAAATAAGTGTGTTCATGGGCTCGAAGTCCATAATCCCACATAATCTCTTGAATATTTCGATCATTGTTACAGGCTCACAACGTAGGTGGTCCGGTTGAGATAATATTTGCATCAATAATTCTCTTTTGGGCGTTTGTACAAGTTTTGGTGCTTTGTGATTTTGGAGAAAACATGAAAAATGATTTCGGCAAAGTAAATAATATGATTTACTCAAATGATTGGTACACATTCCCTAAGGAAATACAACAAATTATTCCAATGATCATGATGGGCGCTCAACAAGATGTTATTTTTCAAGGATTTGGAAATCTAACGTGCACACGAGATGCATTCAAAAAAGTAAAGTAAAATTAAGTTTAAATGTAGAGATTTGAGTGAATATTTGGTGCAATTTTCAGATATCGCAGGGGGGATTCTCTTATTTCATGACACTTCAAAAAATTCAACAATAATAACAATGAAAAGTTTGATAATTGAAAATATGCATTGCATGATAATTCAAATTTAATAAAAATGATTTGCATCAGTAAATGTTGTGACAGTTCTTATTTTTGCATTAAAAATAGCATTGTGCGATGACGAATCTTAGAACATGCCAACACAGATCGTTACAAATAGAACGATTATTATCCCTGCTCCAATGGGTTTCTCCGCACCAGATTTTGATAGACATTCTATAGAAAAGGGAGAAAATTAGTAGAAATATGCATATTAATTAATTTATTAGTCATAGAACTCACTGAATTCTGACTTCCATCCAACTTGAGCTCCCGTTTCTTTATTCTTTTTCTCAAGCCAGTCTTGAAGTGGTTGGAAATATTCCATCAAGGCAGACACGCTGATTGTTCTTTGCCCTGTAAGAATTTCAAGCGCGTCTGGCCCAGATTTCGATGATCCCAACGACATCATATCCCTGGATTACGCAATTTGAATAGATGAAAAAAATTGAAAACATAAATTAAGCAAGATATTATGGTGAACTTACTTGAAGGCATTTCCTGCTTTTGTGCTTTGATATATGTCACACTCAGACAAGTAGCTATTGGGATTATTTGGATCGTATTCTCCTGCCAAAATGCAAGCGCTTTTGTGAAACTGAAATTGCAGAATGTGAGCCACCAAATATCTAATGAAGAAAACCACGAACGGTCTATTATGTATGTTGAAGTCAGAATTGTAATAATTAAATTCGATCTATTTACCGTAGATATTCTACGTTAGCTGACACCATAGCGGTGGTCTATTATAGGAATTCCCATATAAATTTTGTTACCGAAAACACTGACGCGCTCCCTGATTGCATCAAATCGAACTAATCTGTCCCAAATGTGTTGTTTTGCATCTAACAGATGACGCTCGCATATTTACAATAACAAAAATTTACTTAAAAAGTTTGAAAAGTACAGAAAAATAATTTAAAAAAGTAACAATAAATAAATTTTAAAACGTTTTTTAATGGAAATTAGTTTTTTTTGTAATTTTGTGAAATTCATTGTTTTCAATATTGAAAAATATTAATTTAGAAAAATAAAATGGTTAACATAGCCTCACTTTTGTGTCACAATGATAACAAGTTGATTGCTAAAAAAATCTACAAAGCACCAGAAAATATTTACAAAATAAATGTAAATATATTTTTAAATGTTAATTTAAGTGAACATTAATAT